GAAGTGAGCAACGGGCACAGGGAACCCCTGTAAGCAGCGTCTCGCTGCCTTCAGCGCCCGCTGTCCTTGCTGTGGGTGACTGCTCGTGGTTTTGAAATGGCAGAAGGGAAGCCACTCTCATCTGCGGCCTTTCTAATGTTCTTGAAACGAGTATTGCCAGTCTTCACAAACACCTTTAACTCCAGCACACAGCCTGCTTTCATGCCTCATCTAACCACACATCACACGTGTTCTGAGAGATCGCAGTATTCCTTGCTGCACAGCGGGGCACCGAGATCTTCATGAATTCACCGGCACCAAGCAAGTCTGATGTGCAGCAATTATCCATGAACAATCCCTTCGAAATGTGCCTGTCTAAAATTATTCATGATACAACTAGATTGTAGTATTTGAACCTGACAAAAAAAGAACGCAAAACACTTCAAAAAGCCCACTGTTGTTTATTACAAACCAACCATGTTCTGTAGACACCAGAAACAGAATAAAACCAGAATTTTAAAATGTCATGCCAGCGAGTATCACTTAAGCCATCAGCAGCTCAGCTTAAGAGAGGCACCAGTAACACAAGCCTATGGCTTTGTAATCCCTGGAAGAGGAGAACGTTTTTTAGGTAACATCTGAAAACAAATCAATTCCTTCGAAATAAAACAAATAGAAGATGATGGTTTGAATGACTGTCTTGTTTCTGGGAACACGCCTGTGTTCCCCCAGTGCTGCGGGAATGTCTTACTGCCGAGTGTTTCCATATCTCACAACTGGCAAATACAGCTTATAGCTGCCAAGCAACAGCTGCTGTCACGTTTGGCACCTGGCTCTTGAGAATGATAGAAGGCATGAAAGAAGAGGAAGAAGCATGCGCTTAGAAAGGCAGCCCTGGAACTGGCTCTCTCCAGTAAGAGGCCGTTTCCCCGGAAAAAGGACTCCGGTACGGCCCTGCTCAATAATATTTGCGGATGTGAGCAGACACGTCTGGATGTCCACCCCCACACTGAAAAGACGCTGCAGCCCCTGCCCAGGAAGGCGGAATGCGGATAGTGTGACCCAAAGGAGGCCCGCGAGCTTGCGTGCGTGTGTGCGTGTGTGTGAGAGAGCTGACAGGTTTAGAAATTAGCCCTGATTCTGTCCAGGGGGTCTGTGTCCCACATGTTGGAATCCCAGGCCATGAACCAGCCAGTGAAGGTGGGTGGCTCGTGTCCCTGCTTGACGGTGGTAACTGGGATGCCGCGCCGTCCGGAGGGGTCTGAATCCACGTATTCCTTCGCTGTAAAAACAACGGAAAAATCTAATTTCCTGTACGCCCCAGCACTTTCCCTTAGCATTCAAACAATTCTGCCCTGCGTGCCACGGAGAAGCCAAATACAGTAACAAAACGACGTCTCACGATGCACTTTAACTCAGACAGCGTTAGTGCGCAGGTCACCCCTCTGGAATGGAAGACGAGCCGCGTCCAGCAAAATCCATCTCCAGACGTTTTAAGGCGTATTTGAACATTCTTGCTTTACCTATTTTGGGAGCGCCAGTCTTCTCCACGTCATTGGCTTCGTTCCCGATCCACAGGAAGATCTGAAACGCAGGAATAAAGCCCACTGTCACTCCGCCTCCTAACCCCCAGGGCTTCTTGCACCCGATAAGAAAACAGGATCGGAGGCGAGGTTGGGGCGATTCCTGCCTCGGCCTCCGTTGCACTGCAAGGCCCTTGATTATTTAAAAGAGGCGGAAAGGAAGCAGAAGTCGGGGGTCCAGCCATGCGCCCACCTGATCGCCAGTGTCCAGCAGCATGACGTCGTCGGTGGCCAGGTCGGCCTGGGTGAAGTCTCCGGGCACCTCCTCCGCCTGGAAGGAGAGAGACGGAGTGTGTTGAAACACTGACCCCACCGCCGCCGCCTGCCCCCCGCCCCCGCCCCCCCAGCGTCTCTACTCACAACGAGGCGCCCAGTTTTGTTGGAACAGCCGAACAGGCGCGGTGGCGTCACGGCCTTCTGCAGGCTCCTAGAGGTCTGGTACTCCTTCTTGCCGCCCAGAGCCGCCCAGAATCCAGCTGTGCGAGAGGGAAACAGCTGGAATCAGAGGGTCGGTACACACAGACGAGTCAGCACCTGCCACTGACTGAACAGGCAGGGAAGGAGTGGGGTTTAAACAGCTAACCACCTTGCACACAAAGATGGGAGGAGTCTGTCTGTCAGGTGAGAGGAGATATTAAACCACAAATCAGCCAAACACTCTTATCCTCTCTAGGTTTATAACCTAGCTTTGATCTCAGTACAGCAAAAACTTTGTGTCTATATTTTTACTGGATGTAATCCTAATATCTTAATGTCCTAAATGCGGTGTTTTCTGGTAGATGTTCATTTTCACTACAGAATTTCCAAATAAATTTTGAAGCAGAGCAGAAGAAAGATTTACGGATCCCTTGATTTCCGAATGTAATTTGTTCCTTGACAACTTTTTCCCAGGTGAAAATTGTGAAATGGAAAAGGGAATTCCCCTTACATGTAAAACCCTGAGGTTCAATAAACCCAAGTCTGGAGAACAGACAATGTAAAAATGTTAAGCACTGTGCTGTGGAGGTGCTTTTACGGGCCGTGTGAAAATACACATTTTGTTACGGCAAAACTTCATGAACCGGGGCGATCGCAGATCGAGGGGTGGATGTCCACGAAAATGTCTTACAGACTTCCTTCCTTCCAAATCTGTACTGCAGGAATTAAGGAGGCAGACGAGCGTCTCTTTCTACACCGTCGCAGAGTGACGGGAGCCGAGCGAGGCTGAAGGCCTGGCGCCCTCCTGAGACCCCCCTCCACGCCCGCGCCACACCCACCAGGCTCCTTGCCCTCCGACACCTCGCTGGCGCTGCCCTTCAGCATGGCCACCACATGCTTGGCGGCGGCCACTTCCTCCTCGGTGGCGCCAACCCCTCTCCACACGTAGGTGGCGTCGGGGGCCTTCAGCACGAACACGTCGTTGGTGTTGAGGGAGGAGGCGCAGGCTTTGACCTGTGGGGAGAACGGAGGTTGGGGTTCAGCCCCCC